GTCGACTGCAAACGAGTCAACTCCTCCGAGCTGTGGGTTTAATTTTTTTTAAAGTCTTTATAGTCCAAATTTGTCCTTCATTTTCTTTCAAAAAGCATCAAGTGGTTTTTTTCTTGTTGTTGCTGTTCTCTTTTTTTTTGTGTGTCCAGAAATTTGAGTTATGAGGTGTGAGGAGGAAATTCTTCAAATTTGGGAGGTATATAGATTTCATGGTACCTTCCTGTTAACTCTGTACCTCATTCCTAGACCGCACTACCATCCAGACAAATCTTTAGGACAAGTTCATGATCACACAACAACCTACCAGAAACTGTGAATTTTATTTTCTGCATTCTGTTGGAACTGATTTTGGGAGGTGGTTAGGTAAAGTTAGGTTAGGTCAGGTTATGTTAGTTACAAATATCTTTTAATTAAAATTTCATAGATTGAAAACGAATACAATTTAAAAACAAACACGCCACTGTGAAAAAAATATTGACAGCCTACGATACACTTTTTTTAAAATGAATAATTCAAATTAACTGCATTGATGGTTCTCAAAGGAATTCTGACGGGGACTAAACAAAAATCCGACGTACGGAAGATTTTGAGTTATTGACTCATCCTTTTATGATGATTTGGACCAGCAAATTTCTGCGAAATTTTTTGCAGACCGGCAAATTTCAAAAAAAAAATTCTGCGGACTGGCAAAGTTTCATAAAATTTTCGCAGACTCAAAAAAACAGTTTTGTTTGAAAGACTTTGTGGATGTTACAGTATCTTCATCTGAAATTTTGATACAGTAATGGCAGTTAGAATTATCTTATGAAAAATAAATGTTGGCACTTCTCCTAATAACACTTCTGACAAATGCTCACTTAATGAAATAAATTGAGTTAAATTTTTATTCTGAGAAACCTTTCTTAGAGACCACTTTCTAATTTCTTGAAGACATTCCACTTGAGCTGCTTCATTGGTTCTTAAGTTAATTTTTAAAAAGAGCTGTAACTTTTTAAATACCTGCTATAAATCTTTCAAATCCAACTTCTGCAATTACACATAAATTTTATGAAACTTTGCCAGTCTGCAGAAATTTTATGGAAATTTCCTTTTCTATGGGTCTGAAATGGTTGGGAACACTGTTCTATAGAACAGTGTTCCCAACATTTTTGGACCTGCAGACCAGCAAATTTCCAAAACATTTTTTGCGGACTGCCACAATTCCATCAAATTCTTACAGCCTCAAAAAAAGTTTTGGTTGAAAGACTTTCTGGCCAACATTTAAAAATCTTTTGCTTTTTGGCAAAAATTAAGTCAAGAACCAATTAAGTAGCTTTAGTGGAATGTCTGCAGAAAATTTGAATGATGTGCTTGAAGAAAGGTTTCTCAGATAGAAAAATTAAAATATATTTTTTCAGCAAGTGAAAATTTGAAGTGTTATTGGGAGAAAAGTCAACTTTAATTTTTCCTCAGAAAATTTCAACTGTCATTGTCTTTCCAAAATTACGGGTGAAGATAAGAGACTTAATTGCTACTTTTAATAAATATATTTTGCTAAAGAAAATTTCCTGTGGACTGGCAAAAAACCATGGGTTGGGGAACGTATCATTAACGGAAGAGTTATAATGCCATATGTTGCAGGTATCTGCTGTCGAAAAAGTTATTCTCACCGGAAAAATGATTACACCTCGATGCAATTATCCAAAATTTTCTAAAAATCAGATTTTCGAGCCTCGTACGGATTTTCACATCATTCAAATGTTGTGTTTGACTTCCTTTTTTTTCCCCATTCATACAGGCACCCGTTGCGGGTGATTTGCGGGTCAGTGTGGAAGAAGTGCCGGGAAGTGCTGTGGTGAGTGAGCCATTTGATCTGAGGTGTTCTGTGGTCAACACCAGTGGGAAAGAGATTGACTTGGAGGTGCGTTTGGCGAGTCCCGGGGGCAAGGGACTGGCTTGGATCGGGTTATCCGGGTTCCGTTTGGGAGTCCTGCAGCCCAAGGAGTCCAAGTCTGTCGTTTTTCAACTTGCCGGACTGACCACTGGGCTTCAGGTCTGATTCATTTTCTTATTGATGACCAGGTTTTCTGCAATATAGAAAAACTTCTGCGCATTATATTATTATTCCTCAGTAAATAAAAGAAAGAAAGTTTACACTTCTTCTTCCAAAATTTACGGAAAATTACTATAAACATTTCGAAAGTGAATACAGTGAGACCCCTACATGCGGACGCTCGACCTGCGGACAATTCGACATAGGGACACCTATTTTCCTGGAAGAAATCAATAAATAAGGCCCGACGTGAGGACACTGACTCGACATAGGGACATTTTGTGAGAAAATTGCAATTACATTTCAGACCAAATTACAAGAAACAGATATTTCCAACCCTTTTTAACTACATTCTTTTCATCTTGGACATTTCTCTCACCAAATTACCATCCATTTAGCTAATTAAAAAAAAATTACCTCCAGTATAGAAGGACTTCCTTCTCTCTTTTTCACTTGAATGTTATTTTTGTAGATACAAAAATTTCAGTGTACAGTATAGAGATACACTATTCAATATGCTCCAAATGTTCTTATTGAGTTGAAAATTTATGCACTAATTCAAATTCAAGGGGCAAACATTTTATTTCAGGGAATTCTGAAGAATATTTCTTCCACAAAACACCAATTGCAAAGTATATAATGTAGGTCTATGGGAAAACAAGACTCAAGTTGGGGACACTCTTGATGCACCAATTACTTCCGCATCTTGGGGTCTCACTGTAATTTGTATGCTTTCTCAGTAAATTTTGAGATAAAAAAATGTAAACATTATTTCAGTGGCTCAGGAAGTGAGGAATAATGTTAATTAAATTTTTGAAGAACAAATATTCACAGTTGGACTCAGCAACGATTTTTTTCTTTATGGAATGAAGGGCACGAACTTGCAAGGTTTTGAGTTATCAACTCATTTTATGAAAATTTGGACCAGCAAATTTCCAAGAAATTTTCTGCAGCCAAAAAATTTGCTGCAGACTGGCAAAGTTTCATGACAATTTTCGCAGACTCAAGAAAAGTTTTGTTTGAAAGTCTTTATAACCGGTATTAAGTTAAGCACCAATGAAGTGGCTATAGTAGGAGGTCTTTGAAAAATTAAAAAGGTGGGGCAGGAAAAAATTAAAATAATTTTATTTCAGCAGGTGAAAATTTGTCTGAAGTGTTATTAAGAGAAGAGCCAACTTTTATATCAGCAACTGTCATTGACAAAATGTAGTATTCATTTCTAAAATTTAATACTGCTCAATGTGAAATTGACATTTTTTCGCTAAAAACGAGGAGATTCTCGGTTTTTAGGGTTTTTTATGGTCTTTTGGCATGTGACTGAAACAAATTAAATTTTTGTATTATTGAGGGCAATCGTGTTTCGCACTGCGAATTTTCTGCGTAACAAAACGCATCCGGGAAAGAATGAATATGGTTCGTTATGCGGGGGACGGACTGCATTTTGAAGCCTCCTTTTTTTCAAATTTTGTCACGTGTCCTAAAATTATTCAAATGGGAAAAAATCGGGGGCAGGTATTACAAGAAAGAATATTGACCTTGTATTGTAGTTGATCAGCGTATGATGTGAATTTTGAGCGCAGATTGATTTGAAACTTTGGTGAATTATGGCTTAATGTTCGAGTATATTTTTCAGGTTGTTTCTGGATTGAGGCTCGTGGACATGCTTGGCAGAAAAACGTACGAGTTTGATGAGCTGGCCCAGGTTTACATTACCATCCAGTCGTCTGTCCCGGAACGAGAAACTATGGGCTTTGTGGCGGCCGAAGTGGCGTCCTAACTTCTAGAATTATTGTTTTCATTATTGTCGCCGTCTTGTTTTCTTTTGCACTTCAGCTTCTCCCATTTTAAATATCGTATCGATTTCGGAATTAATGCTTGAGGGATGGATGTGAACAATTATGAGTCTGTGATACGACGGAATGATCTTAGCAGGTGAAAATTTGTCTGAAGTGTTATTAAGAGAAGAGCCAACTTTTATATCAGCAACTGTCATTGACAAAATGTAGTATTCATTTCTAAAATTTAATACTGCTCAATGTGAAATTGACATTTTTTTGCTAAAAACGAGGAGATTCTCGGTTTTTAGGGTTTTTTATGGTCTTTTGGCATGTGACTGAAACAAATTAAATTTTTGTATTATTGAGGGCAATCGTGTTTCGCACTGCGAATTTTCTGCGTAACGAAACGCATCCGGGAAAGAATGGATATGGTTCGTTATGCGGGGGACGGACTGCATTTTGAAGCCTCCTTTTTTCAAATTTTTGTCACGTGGCCTAAAATTATTCAAATGGAAAAAATTGGGGGCAGTTATTACAAGAAATAATATTGATCTTGTAATGTAGTTGATCAGCGTATTGTGTGAATTTTGAGCGCAGATTGATTTGAAGCTTTGGTGAATTATTGCTTAATTTTCGAATATATTTTCTAGGTTGTTTCTGGATTGAGGCTCGTGGACATGCTTGGCAGAAAAACGTACGAGTTTGATGAGCTGGCCCAGGTTTACATTACCATCCAGTCTTCTGTCCCGGAACGAGAAACTGTGGACTTTGTGGCGGCCCAAGTGGCGTCCTAACTTCATTGTCGCCGTCTTGTTTTCTTTTGCACTTCAGCTTCTCCCATTTTAAATATCGTATCGATTTCGGAATTAATGCTTGAGGGATGGATGTGAACAATTATGAGTCTGTGATACGACGGAATGATCTTTATTNATTGTCGCCGTCTTGTTTTCTTTTGCACTTCAGCTTCTCCCATTTTAAATATCGTATCGATTTCGGAATTAATGCTTGAGGGATGGATGTGAACAATTATGAGTCTGTGATACGACGGAATGATCTTTATTGTTATTCAGTATTCCGGTGATTTGTCCTGAAGTTTTCTTCATTTGAGAGTTGAAAAAGATGGATGATTTTTCTTTTTGCAGGACGTGGTTTTTTTTTTTAATTCGGGGATTCTTCGGAAGCAACTAAGAATGACGGAGTGTGAGTATTTCCTCCGCGGGACTTTTTCATGCAGTGCACTCGAGAGTTTGATTGATTTTTTCTTTCTCTTCGGAATTTCAGGCCGTAAAAGTCTTCTTTATTACTACATGTTTAACGACTAACTGCCTCTTCCTGTTCCCCTACTGTCCTTTAAGCGGTGCAAGGAGTCTGTCACGTTTTCGACCTAACTAAGTTTACTGTGCAGGGGAGAATTCAAGTACTCTACATTTTTTTGATGATGATGAATCCGTGAGAAAATGTTTTATAGCGTGCATTTTATTTTTAGCGATCGGATGTACGACTTGCTGATGCGTCAATTCGATCCTATGAACATGGTTTTCTTGAAAACCGACGCTGCTGTTGAAATGAACAAGCAGGAGAAAAGGATGTACGAGGAAGAGGCCGAAGCTTTGAAGGTTATTGTTGAATATTATCTATTTTTATTTACATTTATCTAACGTATTTTTTGGACTTTTCTCTTGTGTGTGTCGTATTTCCCGGGGAGTACATGGAAACGGTCTGATATTGATTCCTTCAAAATAACGAAATTGTTGGGAGAATTTCTTGTTTTTATTTTACGTAAAATTTTGTTGATTTCAGTTCGTTTCAAAATTCGTTGATTTCAGTTCGTGTCAAAATTCGTTGATTTCAGTTCGTGTCAAAATTCGTTGATTTCAGTTCGTGTCAAAATCCGTGGTTTCTACTGAAACGTCTGTTTTGAAAGTGTTCTTGATATAGTTCTATACTGAATCTGAAATCAAATACAACCAGACAACTGCTCGTTAATGAACAATTGAAGTCGAAGTGGAAGGAAAATTCCCACGCTGATTTTGTTCTTGAGGAATTGAACACACTTCTGCCTGTCCCTCTGTGCGTGATCGCGAAAATTATCAAATTTGCAACTTCGTTTCCACTTATCAGCTGGTCTAGAATTTAAATTTCCTGCAAAATTTTAAGCTTTGTACAGTGTGGTGGGGCTCGTCATGCATTCCCATCACGCAGATCAAAATGTAATTCTGCTAATCTTGGGTGAAGCTTTCTCATTTTTTGTTTACGCTTTCATTTTCAAACGCATAAAATCGAAAAAATCTGGTCAAACCACTGCTCTGTACTGGGAAACGTGGAATTCTCTTGAAAGATCGAAATCGAAGTTTTTTTCTTTCTGTACGTTAACAACCGGAATGATTTTAAATTTATGAATTTTATCGTGATTCACTCGTTGCAGGCGAAAATCGAAGCCGCGGAAGCGGATATTTTAGTTGCACGAGAAGAATTGGAAGAAGCGAAGAAGCAGCGAGAAAGGAAATCGGAATACGACGCATTGGCCAGAATTATTTTCACTCTTCCCGATCGCGAAGTCACTCGGAAGGAGCTGCAAACTTCAGAAGCCAGTGTGCAACGACTCAAGGTGAAGATCGCGTTTCGAAAAATATTTGCTGATTTTTTTTTTATATCGATAGTTTTCCCGAACCGATGTCCAATACTGTAGTTGAATTATTATTCGCACTAGTATAGGTTTATTTTCTCCGCGACACCCGAAGTCCTGAGCTGAATAGTGTTCCGTGTCTTCACATAGGTGTCGCTTGAATCCAAATTAATTTTTCGACCAGGGCTGTGAAATTGGATCATGTTTGGTTAGCTTGGATTTGTATTGTCTCAGGTTACGACTTGAGCCGGGCTCATTTTTGTGTATCTTTACATAGGTGTCACCTGAGTCGCGTTGGTTTCTTCTAGCCATGGTTGTTGAATTGTGTTGTGCTAGGCTACCTTGGTTTCCCAAGTGGGTAGCCATTTTTGAGTGACCCCACAAATGGTGCACACTGGGGTTACAATTTCTGTTCATGGGTTATTCTGGGGTTACAGGCATGCACCTCTGTTGACAAAATTTTGCTACCATTCCTGGGCTACATTTGGTGCACAAATGTGACATAACAGGAGTATCACGCAAATGCACCAACTGTAACCTTGGTGTAACTTATTTGTTTACAAATGTGACCCTGAGTAATCCTGGTGTGAACACACAATTGGTGCACATTAGGGATATGCATTTGCAACAGAAGAACTTTGGTACACTTCAGGTGCACAGCAAGGTCACTGGGTAGATTTACAAAAATATCTGCAGTGTGCACCAATTTCCCCACTTGGGTTGTATTGGGTTGCAACTAGAGCTCAGTAATTTTCTTTGGTTTCACATTGGTGTCGCCTGAGTCCAGTAGATTTTTTGAAGTCGTGAATGTTGAGTAGGGTTGTGTAAGGTCCATTTGGGTTGTGTACTGTAATAGGTTTCAACCTGAGCTCTGATATTTTCTGTCTTCACATAGGTGTCGCCTGAATCCTGATGATTTTATTGCCGGGGCAATGGATTTGGGTTATGATTTGTTGGTTCGGATTCTACTTTACAATACTGTACAAGGTTACAACTTGAGCTTTGTAATTTTGGAAGTAATTTTCTGTAATTTTTTTCTGCATCTTCACATAGGTGTCACCTGAATGCTTGGGAATTTTTTTTGCCTTAGCTCTCGAATTTGGTTAGAATTGGGATTAATTACGTTTGTAGGATTGCAGTATTATCAGTGTTCTTTATGTTGTGATATTCAAAATGGTCCTTGGAGAATTTATGTCAAGTTGATTGATAGTAAAGATCGACTCTCAAGATGATTGTGCAATTTAGGTCATGAGTATTTCCTTGATGCTTATCTTTCCAAGTGGAGCTGGTGTGAGGAATTTTTCCCTAAATTTTCGAAGTTCTCAAAAAATTGACAGGAAGTCAAAGTTGGATTATTGCCTTGTGTCACTGATTCAAGTGAATTGTGTCTGATATTCCTCAGAACAGTATCAGGGATTGAAGTGAGACAATAATTCGGTATGGTCGTTGATCCTCCTAAATAGGGCTCAATTAGAAAAGCTTCGCAGTCTCAGAATTATTCATGGGTGTTGTAAATACGTGTTCCTTTATTCTTTTTGCAGAAAGTGAAAGCGGAATATCAACTGATGCTGTCTGAGAGGGAAGTTCTCAGCCGTGATCTCATGTTTGCGGCCTGCCAACTCAAACGTTGCTTGAAAGACAAACCAAACACAGTCCAGTTATCCCATGTGGACCCGGACGTGGAAATGTCTTCTGTTTGATTTATATTTTTCGTATCTCCGGTGTGTCTATTTGGTGAAAAAGAAAAAATTACTGTACTAAAAACGCTTGAAAATCTTGTTTCGCTCTCTGATGTAGTTTTGCTAAGCTAAGCGAATGTTGTAGATATTTTCTGTTGATTTCAGACTGGGGGGTGGAATGAGTGAGTCGGAGGGGTTAGAAACCCCGTCGGTGAAACCCCTGGGGGACTGGCCTGTGCCGATTTTGGTCGTGGAACCCAGGGGAAAGCCGGGCACTGTCAAAAGATGGACGGGTGAGCCAGAAATACCCATATATACAGTATTTTTTTTACTCGTCGAATTTTCTGCGACTGGGACTTGTTGAGATTTTATCCGCTGTCGCATAGGTGTCGCCCAAAGTGTTCAGAAAATTTTATATTTTTGCGTTGAGTTTTTTGTGGGATTTTTTGGGGTTGGATGAATTTAGTGTTGATTTTTATTAATTATTTTCTGTGACGAGCGGCGGAGCACAGTAAGGTATTTATGGATTCAGGCGACATCTACGTAATATTCCAAAACAAAAAACTGGCGTTGAAGCTGGAGACTCACTCCTGTCGCACTAGGTAATTTAGCGAACGAGCGAGATTGAATCTACTTTCACTTGCATCGTTCGATTGATTTAATGTCTTGTCAAATTTGTAAAGATACAGGATGTTCAATGCGTTTTCAATTTTATTTCTGTTTTTTGTGTGTGAACAAACGGAGGTTGAGAGAGAAGGGATCTATTTTTTTTCTCTCTGCAAAATGGGTAATGTTCTTCACGTTCATTTTCACTCGATCAGCTTCTGTACCATACTCAATTATTTTTTTTGGTTACATAGGTGTCGCTCAAATATTGCTACAATTTTTTTCGGTAATTCTGGTTTTATTCTGTCAGTTTGGGTTTTTGAAGTTAGTTTGTATTTTTTTCAAGGTATTTTTTGGTCTGGTGTAATGATGCAAAAACTAAACTATGACACTTTTTTGCAAAAAAGAAAGCGATTTATGCAGATCCGCAGTTTTGATGCAACTGTGTGACGAAATTATTTCTGATCGAGTAATTCCTTTTTTGTTTCGTTTCGAAGCTCACTGCTTCGTTGATTAGGAGTATTCCATTTTTGAAAGTTTGCTTTAATCATTTTATTTGTGATTTCTCAATTATTTTGTAGATATGAACGTGCAAGAAGTGGAGAAGAGGAATCTCGTTGCGCTCTCCAAACTGGTTGTTCGCGACGTGATAGAATCTTCCATGGTTCAGGGTCGGATGTTGGACTCTGATCATGTTCCTTTGCAAGTTCGTTTTGATTTTTTTTTTGCTCATGAAACTCTTCTCAGAATTTAAACCACTTCAGAAGTCGTGGGAAGATGCAGTGAGACCCCGATATGTGGACACCCCAGCATACAGACAATTCGACTTAGGGACACTTGAAAACCAGAAAAAGCAGGCCTGACATTGGCTCAAGTTAGAGACGCTTTTCTGGAATTTCTCCAAAAAATAAAAATATTTAATATTTTTAATTTTGTTATATTTTGAAGAAATCAAGCTATTTATATTCACGGATGTTGAAAATATATTTCAGGATTATTTCATTAGCAAAAGTAAGCTTATTTTGAGCTTCTTTTTTTCAGAGTTTTTTCTATCATCTGTGCATATTCTAGCAAGACTTATTCTTTTTCTTTGCCTTTTGATCTTTTGATACCAAAAGATCAGATTGTAGGTGGTTTTGTTCTGCACTGTTGTTGTCTACAACTTGAAGTTGAGGGAAACAATTGTTATATTAAATTTTTTGAGGTCCTATTTCTAATTTTTGACAAAAAGGAGAACCAATTAAATACATTAGCATTGAAGTCTGAGGGAAAATGAAAATATATTACTAATAATAATATAATTTATGACTTGACTTAGGGACATTCCAACATCCGGACACTCTTGATGCAGCAATTATGTCCTCATCTTAATTGGGGTCTCACTGCAGTAATGGAGTAACCTGGGCCCATTGATTTGTCTTGTCTCAGACAAGCTGGCTGCTATTCAATTCAAGATAAAATTTTTATTATCATAGGACATTTTTATCCTCTGGAAAAGAAGATATTAATTTGCTTGGAACAATACTTAGGCTATAATATATGCCTTGGAAGAGCAATTAAAGCCCAGAAAAGAAATTTATGATTCGCTGGAATTTTTTTAATTCATGAATTACTTGTGCTGTTCTGGTTATTTTGTCAATGAGAAAGGTGCAGTATTTGTTTTTTGTTGTTTTTTGGAACAGCAATTTTTGGTCATTTTGGAGCACTCTCTGAAGCACGGTTTGAAAATGAAGCGGGGTTTGTTGGCTCAGCAAAAAAGAGACGTGTGGGAACTGCTTCAGGAAGTGGAAAAGTTGGTTCCGGCTGCCAAGGAAATTACTTTGAGCGTTCGTGAGCTTCCTAGTGTCAGGTAATAAGTTCCTATGGTCTTATTTCGTGTTTTTTTATTCCTACATTTTTTCTTTCTTTATTCTTTTCTACGGGACTCAATCAATTGATCCAGAGAAAACTTCTGAAATGCAGTACTCTGTTAACATCTTTATACGAGTTTTCAAAATTTTTTTTTTCAAAGGGTCTATTTATTTAAAAATGTACGAAATATTCGACAGAACTTCGGAAGGAAGGACCAGAGCGTGGTTGAGATTGGCACTGATGCAGAAACGGTTGCCGGATTACTTCAAGGCCCTGACAGACCACAGAGACGATTTATTGGTGCATTTCTATGATCCAATTGCCCTCATGATGAGTGACGATGCCATTGTTTTGAGTGGACTCCTTCTCGGACTCAATGTGATTGACAGCAATCTTTGTATAAAAGTGAGTTTTCCCTCATTTAAATATTTTTTTTAATGACCTTGACGCAATTTTTCGTATTTTTTCGTATTTCGGTTTTAGCTGGATGCCAGGTGATTTGTCATTTTTACGAAATGTATTTTTTATGGATGCTTGTGGAATTTGCGACGTGAATGTCTTGAATTGCTGAAATTATGACTCAATTTCTCTTGAATGTGATGCCGGGCATTAATTTTGAACTGCCTTAATTAATGATTTGATTATCTCTTTGCTTTTTTTCTTCCAATTTTTATAGGGAGAAGAACTTGATTATCAATCGGACCTGGTGGATTTGACAACGTACCTGAAATCGTCACCAGTTTTTGAATCTGTTGCAAGTTCTGGAAACTCTGTGAACCCGGAAAGTATGGCGGCTGTTTTGGACCAAAAGAGTTACTTGGAAGAGCTCAATCGGCATTTATCGTAAGTTGAAAACGATTCCAATGAAATTTTTTATTTTACAAATTTCTCAGTTCAGGTATTTTTCTTCCATTTTGTTTTTACTTTTAACTTCAGTTTCTTATATTCTGCAGGTGGGGTTTAATTTCTGTTTGCAATCTGATTTTTTCCTTTTTTTTCTTGTGGGGTTTATTTAAAGCATGAATTGAGCAGTTGGAATCATCAGCAAGTTTGGAAGGTGTATTTCTTGGATTTTTTAAAACTATTATTATTTGTTGCACAGGATGTTTGTTTTCCAGGATGGTGTTATCTTAAACTGCCAAAGAAAGACTGAAATGAATGATTAACGTGTTGAACGCCTTCTTTGCTTTTAACCCATTTGTTCACTACTTTGGTGTTCACTTGTTTAGATAACTTCAAGTCAGGAAGTATTGAGCTTATGGCCAGGGTGACACAAATGAATGTACTTCTCTATACAAAGGCAAGAGTGTGACTTTAATATGATCCTAGTTCAATCCAACAACAGAGTACAGTGAGATTCCCCGATGCAGATGTAATTGGTGCATCAAGAGTGTCCCTAAGTTGAATTGTCCCTAAGTTGAGTCTTGTTTTCCCATAGACTTACATAAAATAATTTTTAATTGGTGTTTCATGAAAGAAATAATCTTCAGAATTCCATTAAAAAACATGTTTGCCCCTTGGATTTGATTTAGTGAATGTATTTCCAAATCAATAAGAATATTTGGAGCATTGAATAGTGTATCTCTGTACTGTACATTGAAATGTTGGCATCTACAAAAATAACATTCAAGTCACAAAGAGAGAAGGAAGTCCCTTTATACAATAGGTGAATTTTTTAATTATCTGAATGGATGGGAAAGTTACAGGAGAAATGACAACGAATTTTTCTTGCATAATTCTTAGGGTTGGAAATATCTGTTTCTTGCAATCAAGCCAAATAAAAGTCAATTTTTGTGACATTTATTGACAATTTTATCATGCAATGTCCTCATGTTGAGTCAGTGTCTGTATGTTGGGCCTTCTTTATTCCCTTTTTATTGAAAAATAAATGTCCCTATGTTGAATTGTCCTCATGTCAAGGTGTCCACATGTGGGGGTCTCACTGTATCCCAAACCAGCAATGAGTGCAGGAAGAGTGTTTGGACACTTCTTAATGGATTTGTCTGATGCGCAGAACAGGTTGATGACCAGCACACATAAAATAAAAAAGAAACTGGGGTGGTTGCAAAGGCAAATGACCAACAACCAGACAACATCAAATCCTTTTTGTACCAACTAGAAAGAATGCATGTGAAAGCCATAGCAAAGATCAGGGTGTTATAAACATGTTACAGGACTCTCTCAATTATAAGATCAATAATTGAAAAAAAAATAAATAAAAATAAAGGAATTACCTGATAGCCTGTCCATGAATGTCTAATATTTTAAAGCTTCTTTCAAAAGTCCTGTAATCAAAACAAATAACTGTGTGTCTGAAAAGAATCAATGAGAAATTTCCTCAGTGATGCCTTGACCAAAATCATGAATGGTTTAGTTGAAGATGGGTTCTATTGAATGTTTGACTTTGGTAATTTCTATTTTTTTGGCAATTTTTATGGATTATTGGAATTTATGAAATTTCCAATTTCCTGTATAAATAGATCTCAGTATATTTTTTTTTCAACATGAACCACGTGCTGAATCCAAAGATCATCTTTTGAACAACGCCCAGAAATCGTCGATACCCCGCCTCTGAAAAATTCAAGTTTTTCAGTCGCGTGCTCCGTATTCTAATTTTCTGAATACAGTACCAAAGAATTTATTGTGTCGGTATTTGAATTTTCATTTCGGATCGTGATGTTTCGTAGGTCTCAAGTGGCGAATCTGCACGGACGAATGGAGTCTCTGACTTCCACAAACACGTTGCTCAGGCAAGACTTGGACGCCACGAAGGTTCACAACAAGCAGCTTTCGGAAGAAGTCCGGGCCCTTGGCAACATGTTGGCTGGGAACATCCCTGCGGGAAAACCCGAAGATGTGAGCTTGTGTAACTCGATGGAGAAATGGGTCATTCGTGTTCGATTTCATCGGCTTCTATGCGATTTCGGATGAGAAAAACTTTCCAAAATGAATGGATATAGCAGCGGAAAATATTTGGATGATGTTCCTGTTGGAGTTTCGTAGGAGACACATACGAGGGTCCTGACAAAAGTTCTCGGAATAGGAAAGGAAAATGGCGTATAATCGAGCTGAGAAAAAATAAAGTTCTCTAGGGAAAACGTATTCCTTGGCACACAAAAATATCAGCTCTGTTTGACAAATTTTCTTGAATGTTTTGCAAAATTCACCCTGGCAGAGTTCCGCTCTCCATCACTGAAAAGATGAGGCGCCCTTCCTGCAGTTTTTTGTTGATGTTGATTTAAATAAAGCCGAGGGGAAAGCTGGGCTACAAAAAAATAAAAGGAAGCGCGCCTCATCTTTTGAGTGGAGAGCAAAACTGTGCCAGGGTGAATTTTTCAAAACATTCAAAAAAATGTGTCAAACAGGGCTGATTTTTTTTGTGCCAAAGAATATGTTTTCCGTAAAGAATAATTTTTTTTCCCAGCTCAATTATACGTCATTTTCATTTCCATTCCAAGAACTTTTGTTAGAACCCTTGTAGTATGAGGATTGGTTCATAAGTTGTGAGACTTTTTGAAATGGATCCGACAGAGTTTCAATAATGAAAAATTGAAAATTTCTCGCATAGCCCCAACATTTCGCAACACTTCAGTGCTGTTCAACACACTAACTGCCGATTTAAATGAATTTTTCCATGCCATAAATCCAACAATCAAAACAGTGCCAAAAATCTAGTTCCGTTAGTTCATTGAGCTGGTCTTCGATAGTGGAAGTGAGGCTTTCTCTGTTCTCAAAATCAATCCCTTTTAGTTTGTTCTTCACTGTTAAGAACAGCCAGGATTAAAAGTCACAGGGTGCCTACAATCAAATAACACAACTCGATTTTTGGCACTGTTTTGATGGTTGGCTTTATCCCTTGAAAAATTGCATTTAAATCGACGGAGATTTAATAGAACTGAAGTATTGCCAAATGATGGGACATGCAAATGAAAACAAAATTTGAAATTGTTAAAACTCCGTTGGATCTATTTCGAAAGGTCTCAAAACTTATGAATCAACCCTCGAACAATGATTGCTCAAATTAGGGTGGAATGTCGATTTTTTTCCCATTACAAAATCGATAAAGGGTTGACCTTTTAAGTTTTTTTTTTTTTCAACTTTAAAGACCTTTGTATTCAATTAACAGGCGACTATCTTAAAATTCCTCCGGTGGCCTGTTGTCCTGATAATTTTTCGGAATATTCAGTTCGGAAATGTATGTGAGCTCTTTTTAAAAACATATGCTGCGAAAATGAGGTCACCAGCAGTTTATTGATGATCAACATGAATCGGAGGGAAATTTTATTGTGAGCTGAAACCCTGATTTTGTTTTGCATACATTTTTAGTCAAATGATGAGCCATGCCTGCCTGGACAAGGATTGATCAGAGAAGGCGGCGATGGCGCCTCGTGCAGCTCGCCGCCGTATTCAGCGACGGACACCTTTGACCACACGCAAACGGTGGTTGCTTTGAAGAAGAAACTTTTAGGCGAGGAAACGGAAACTGCCAGACTACAAAAGGAATTGCAGTTGCAGGTCTGTTCTTCGATTATTAAATTAATCTTCTGATGACATGAGATCTATGAGAAAACAAAAAAATATTTAAAAATTGTCCAGTAATTGATATTTTTGATGGAATTTTTCCTGTCTAATGTAATTTACTCGCTCTTCGGAGATGAATTTCCAATACGGGCGATTTTTCGTTACGAGACGTTTTTTTTCGATTTGAGTAGATGTCGCTGGTAGTCAGGATACTGTTCTTTTCATTCTGCGTAAGCTCAAGTTTCTTGTGCTCCTTTTTTTTTACTGTGATTGCGTGTTTGCAAAGGGTGTGCATTTGAATTATCAAGTTCATCCCGAAGTTTGAAGAAATGAAATTTTCAAATATTTAGCTGAAACTTTATACTGTAAAGTAGTGCAGATGGCAAATCTGAGGTGGGTTGAATGAACTAAAGCATGGTGTATCAGATTTAGAGTTCCTAGGGTCCATGGAATATTTTTTGATTGTAATCTGTTGTTGATGATGCAGAAAATTCTGTCTGTGACCATGTGGAAAGATTCCCTTTTTAAAATTTTTACAAAATAGTACTGAAATGCCATGCTTTACCAGTTTATAGCTTTATCTCATTGTAATTGTTTTTCTATGAAAAAAAGTTTAATTAAAAAAAAAAGCCTTCAGATGCGCACTAAAATTCTGTTATTTGTATTATTTTTTATGTTTAAAAAATGTTGATTTTTGAAAAGTTATAATGAAAAAAAATGTTTAACCTTTTGGTGCGGCAGTTTGGGGAAAACTGCTCAGTGCTTCACCTGTAACAGTCACCCATGAACAAATGGCCCAGTGTCTGTATCTCAAAACGTGTGACTGTCGCCCATGTCATACGGGTTCAATATGGGTGAATTATTTGCTGGGTTTATGAACATAAATTCCGGAAGAAATGAATTAATTCGACCCTTTTTTGTCATTTTCGTACTGCGTGTATATGCAGGAATTTTGACTTTGACGAGGTGAAAATATTTTTGTAAATGCTGAAATACTGTACATATTTTTTTATTTGCTTCCATAATTTATTTCATGCCCGAAATGTTCGATCTCTCTGTCCAGGTGGCGCTCAAGAATGAAATGGACACCGCCATGAAACTGTTGGAGAAAGACGTTATTGAGAAACAGGACACGATCGTTTCATTGAGAAGACAGTTGGAAGACATCAAAGCCATCAATTTGGATATGTACAAAAAGCTTCAAGCTGCGGAAAATTCCGTCAAGCACAAGGTTCAAATGATTTCTCGACTGGAGGCGAAGGCTGCTGACATGGCTGAGACCATCAAAACATTTGAAGCCAAGTCAGTGTTTTCATGCTTTTAATTTATCCCACGACTGAGAAATTTCGTTTTCAATTATTGTACGCTGGTGCTTCGGTTTATGGACTCGTTGATCCACTTTATGCGGGAAGGGCCTATTATTTAAAACTTGGATTTATCCAGTGATTTTTATCTGATTTACTGAATATGAAATGGTTGATCGCTTTTAGATTATCAGAAAAGTCCTGGAGTTGATTTCATATCTTTATCAGACTCTTGGCAAAGGTTATCTTGAACTTTCTAAATGGTAAAAATGTAACACCTCTAAATTTTTTTAATAACAAGATTTTTGGTCCCGCATGGGGTTTTTTATTTGCATTTTATTTGAGAGGGTTGACACAAAGCAATTTTTCCTCAACTGCAAAAATCATGTCAAAATCAGTGCAAAAATTGTTCTGCGGGCAAATGCTTGGGAAACTGTGCTTGCTGTTCCTGGTTATTTAGTAGATTTTTCAAGAAACATCCTTCCTTCATTAATTATTGACCATCCAATATAGACAGTGCAATTGAACACGCAATAGAATTTAGATGGAAGCCAATTCAGTTTTTCAAACTATACTAAAAATCTGAAAATGCCAGAAAAATCAAGATACAGTATACAAAGGGGGTCCTGGAAATCTCAATGGCAAAGAGCCTGTTTTAGTGAAATAAAAGTCAAATCAATTGTCCATTTGCGGCCTGAGGAATCTCCTCACAAACTGTTGCTTTTTTTTGCAAATGTCTGAAATTGAGAAAACACAGAACACCAGCTCTCATGCACATGGTCTCAAGTATCTAACTGTAATGTCAGTTTCAGCTTCCTCCAGCCTCAGGTCCATTCCCATCATGGAAAAGTTCCTGAAGGTTGTTTGATTAAATAAATGTTTTTAATGGAATATTTCATGAATGTTCTACTTTCATGGAGTGTTTCTAAGTATTATGTAATGATTGTTCTTTCTGTTTCCTTTTTGTTCTGTTGAAGCATGGCGCAACCATGGGTGACATCTAGTTGACTTTTGGTGTGATGTCTTTGTCTTGGGCAGCATCTAGTCAACCTGTGACAGTTGGCTTGTGAGAGATGATTAATGGCCAGCACTTGCCATCAATGGAGGTGGATGCAATCTCTTCTTTTTCTCTTCAATTCTTCATTGGTGTCTAATGAATGTCTCATTTAACATTTAGGGGATTTACCATGGTCCAGGTTTTTTTTCTTGTTTCCTTCTGTAGCTGAGTAATTGATGAAGAATTTATCAGACACCAATGAAGAATTGAAGAGCAAAAGATGAAATTGCATCTGCCTCAGATGACCACAAGTGGCAGTTTATCATACTTTATGAACCAACCCTTGTAATTGCCCCAGTGGGGAGATATTTTTGCTGTGACCCCACAGTAGGTGCACACCAGGGTCACAACTGGCGCAAATGGTATATTCTGGGGTTACATCTATTTCATTTTTATTTCACTTCTTCCCAACAATCTCCATGCGCACCACGAGCATGTGCAACAGAAGAACTTTGGTACACTTCAGGTGCACAGCAGGGTCATTGTGTAAAATTACGAACAAATCCCCAGTTTGCACCAATTTCCCCACTCAGGCGGGTCTGATGTGGAAAAAAAAAACATTTTCCAGTCATCAACTTTTGAAAATCTTGACGTGAAAAATGATTGAATAAAGTAATAAACTTTTTCTGTCTTCCCCCAAAAAAATAGTTTGTTGTGACGGCATTTTACTTTATATACTGTACATCACAGGATCATGTGCTTGAAGAGTGACAAGCAGGCTGGCGAGGAGACCATTCGGAAGCTCGGCCAAAGCGTGGCGGACAAAGACGCGACCGTGACGACGCTGGAAAGCGATTTGCGCGTCGAGAAGGAATGGCGCCTGTCCCTGCAGGACACGTTGGTCAAGGACCGCGAGCGAATGGCGGAGTTGTCGGCGGAAATCTCGCGGCTGACGAGAGTCAGTCAGGAGCACGACACGCTCAAAGTGGCGTTCAAGTCCCTGGAACGGACCTGCGACGATTACGAGAGAAGCATGGAGGAGCTCGGCGTGCATTTGTACGAGTCCAAGTTGAAGGTGGACGATTTGAAGGAGGCTAGCGGGGCCGTGCTGCGGAATGCTCAGTGGGCCGACGATGCCGAGGTGACCAAGTGCTTTGGCTGTGAAAAGGACTTCAGCATCAGCAGGAGAAAGGTCCCTGGTTTATTTATTCATTATATTATTTTTTTGTGTGTGTGCCGAAACTTCAATTCTGCGCAGCAGTGTTTTTGATGAACGCGATCAAAAAGGATTGTTTTATGCAGTGTTCCCCAACCCATGGTCCAGGGGCCGGCGCCAGTCCGCAGAAGTTTTTTTTTTTTTTTTAGTCCGCGGGAAATTTATCCAGACTGATGAATTTTCCAAAAGTAACAATGAAGGATGTTACAGTATCTTCATCTTAAATGTTGGCAAGACAATTTCAGCTAAGGTTATCTAATGAAAAAAATATCTTGGCTTTTCTCCTGTAATAATTCAATAATTTATTTCAATTCTTGAGTCTGAAATACCTTTCTTCAAGCCCACCTTTTCATTTTTGAAGACATTCCACTAGGTATATATAACTGCTTCATTGGTTCTTGACTTAATTTTTGCACACAAAAAACAAAAGCTTTTCAAATACAGTGCCTGCCATTCAGGCAAACAAATTTTAGCATGCAAAAATTCTGTGAAACTTTGCTGGTCCTCAGAAAATTGGGTAATTTCCTGTTATCTCAGTACCTACTTTACGTGCACCTACCACAAAATGTGAATTTCATTTTTCTGCATTCTGCTGAACATTATTTTGAGAGACAGTTAGGTAAAGTTAGGTTAGGTCAGATTATGTTAGTTACATATATCTTTCAATTAACATAACCTGACCTAACCTAACTTTAGCTAACCGCCTCCCAAAATCAGTTTCAGCAGAAACCCAAAGAAAGCAGAAACTGATTTTGTGAGGCGGTTAGGTGAAGTTAGATTATGTCAGGTTATGTTAGTTACAAATATCTTTCAATTAACATAACCTGACCTAACCTAACAAATACTGAATTCACGAGACAAAGAAAAATGGGTGCTGAGATAACAGGAAAGTACCAAAAATTGTTTGGAAATTTGCCGGTCTGCAAAAAATTGTATGGAAATTTGCTGGTCAGCAGAACCAAAATGGGTGGGGAATGCTGTTCTAGACTGCAGTGTTCCCCAACCTGTGGTCCAGGGACCAGCGCCAGTCCTCAAAAGTTATTTTTCCAGTCTGCAGGAAATTTTCTTTAGCATAAGAAATTGATCAAAATTAGCAATGAAGTCTGTTATGTTTGTCTGTAATTTCAGTAAGACAATGGCATTTTAAATAATCTGATAAAAAAAATAAGTTTGCTTTTCCCTCAACACTTCATACAAATTTTCACCTGCAGAAAAAAAATTATTGTAATTTTTCATACTGAGAAACCTTTTGTCAAGCACACCTTTCTAATTTCTGAAGAGATTCCACAATAGCTGCTTAATTGGTTCTTAACTTAACTTTTGCAAGTCTTTCAAACAAAACATTTTTGCATTTGAAAAAATGTTTTCAAATTTTGCAGTTTTCCCCAGCCTTTTTGGACCCATATACCAGCAAATTCCCATAAACTTTTTGCAGACTGGCAAATTACCAGAAAAATTCTGCAGACTGGCCAAGTTTCATAAAATTGTCCCATACTTCCAAAAGTTGTATTTCAAAGATTTATGGCAGGTATTTAAAAAGTTACTGCTGTTTTCAAAATTTATTTTAAGAGCCAATGAAGCTACGTTAGTGAAAAGTCTTCAAAAATTAGAAAAGTGGTCTTGAAGAGAGGTTTTTCAGAATGAAAAAATTAAAACTAATTTATTTCATCAGGTGAACATTGGTCTGAAGTGTTATTTGGAGAAGTGCAGGCATTTATTTTTCATGAGCTTATTTCAAATGCCATTACCTTGCCAAAATTTCAGATGAAGATACTGTAACATCCTTGATTGCTACTTTTGATAGATCTTCTTCAGCATAATTAATTTATCACAATTAGCAGTGAAGTCTGTCATCTTTATCTTACATTTTTGGAAGGACAATGGCAGTTGAAATTATCTGATGAAAAGTTCAAGTCTGCTTTTCTCATGATGAGACTTGAACAAATTTTCACCTGCTGGAAGAAATTATTGTAATTTGTTGTACAGTACTGAGAAACCTTCCTTCAAGCTGACCTTTCTAAATTTTTGGAGATAATTCCACTTCAGCTGCTTCATTGGTTCTCAACTTAATTTTAAAAAAAAATTTTTTTGAGTCTGCAAAAATTTTATGGAAATTTGCTGGTCCGCGAGCAAAAAAGGTTGGGTAACACTGCTCTAGAAAATTCGAGTTATGGAGGGTTGAGAAGGGGAAGCTTTTGAGTTAGAGAGGTTTCTGATGGATTGTTCTTCAGGGCCTGGAGAAATAATTTGATCGAAGGAAGGTATTCGATTTTTTCTTTCTTTAAAAATTCAAGCTTATATATTTCAATTATATATTAAAAATTATAATTAAATACAAAAAAGGTTCAATTATATATTTACTGAATTTTTTTATTGTTATCCACAGCATCATTGTCGGGCGTGTGGGATGATTTTCTGCCACGGATGTTCCGACAACACCATGCCTTTGCAATGCTCCAAGAAGCCGGTGAGAGTCTGCGACGGATGCTACACACACTTGTTGGAGAGGTATTCTGTGGGTGCTGACAGCTGTGCCTGAATTTCAAACTCTGAATGCTGATGATTCCCCCGTTTTTTCTTGAGTATCTTTGCCATGCAGAGTTTTTATTTTCCTCGCTCATATACATGCTGATGTACTAGACTTCCCCCATGACATCAAACGCGAACATGTGAGATCTGAATCCGAGTCTTTTTTCTCCTGGGTGATGATGTTGATGATTATGATTCCCCGTGTGTGCTGGGGGTTCAAGATAAGGGGGGCGGACATCTTGACATTTTTAGGTTTTCTTTTTTTTTTGCGTTACCACACAGAGCAGCGTGACGATATTGACACATTTAATTTCTGCTTCTTCTAATGAGCGGAGGGATCATTTTAGTCCGTTTCTTTCATTGTTGCTGATGGAAGGAGAGTCGACGCGATAGTTTTTTTTTTTTTTATACAGTATCTGAAAAAATCTCAGCAAGAGCTTGACTGGAATAATAAACCTAATTTTCTGGGATTTTTCTAGATTTATTTTGCTTTGGGATTTTTTTTAGTTAGTTAGTTTTTATGAAAAATAATCTCTCAAGTGCTTCCAATGTGTGTAGAACTGTAGAACGTTTTTTATGCTCAAGTGCCCTGTGCCATTTTTCTTCACCTGAAATTGGGATCAAAAAGCTTGTCATATTCTGAAACATTTCCTGTACTTACTTTGCACATTATCTTTGCATTACAGTCATAGAGATAAGTTATTTAAATGAAGCAAATTGTATGTAATGTAGTGTAGGGGAACCTCTTAAAGGTTCCTTCAAAGACCAGTGAAGGTTAATTATTCTGGTTAACCTCATGACCTTCTGGAGTGAGATGAGTCAACTTGCTCTGAATCCAAAAAGGAGTTCAATGAACCTACAATCCACTTTGCTGGTGGCAGTAGTGGGATGTATAATTTACTGTGATTAAATCATCCATTCAAATCTAATCAAGTCAATATTCAAGGGACTAGCAAAAAAAATTGAGTTAGGGATGTTCTCAAGGTGGAAAAATCAGCACTTCTGTTGTGGGAAAGAAAAAAAGAATATTGGGAAATAGTGATTGGTAATATTCTGGGCCTTTTATTGTTTATATTCTTTGAATAAGTTGACAGGATGTAAAACTTTGAGGCAAGGGTTTATTTCACCTATTAGTCTTTCACTTCCTTTCAAAACGCATCAAGTTAAATTTTTAATGCTGTTCTTTTTCCTGTGTCAACAGGAATAATGGCCAAAAGGTCTCCAGAAAATTCTAATTATTTAGTTTTGGAAAGGAATGCCTTTGAGTTAAGAATGTTTGAAGGCATTTTTTTCAATTTCACAGGGAATTCAGTCAGGGATCTGAAGAAATTTGACATTGGGTGGTTTGAGTTATTGTGGTTCAACTTTATTCACATTTGAGAATAAATTTATAATTCATCTGTTGTAATTTTTAAACTGTGAACATTTTTTCAAAGAATCACGGCTTTGTTTTTTATGCAGACACAAGATTTTAGCTATACCTTTTTGATTCAATAAGTGAGAGAGCACTCCTTATATTTTTATTGTATTTCCAACAATGAAACATGTGAAATTAATGCTTTAAATTTCCTACAGAGGCAGCGGAATCGTCTCAACTGAAGAGGAAGAGAAGTATAATGTACTTAACTGGTAAAATTTTGTTGTTAAAAATCGTTCATCTTGAAATAAAATTAATTTTTTTCAAGTTTCTGCTGGAGAAACATGAACACATAGCTGTAAAAAATCTCGTTAACAAGATTTCAAGGTTAATTGCTGCAGATTAAATTTTTTTGGGATGATTTTCCATATTTTTCTTCTTATCGTTGCAATATTCAGAAGCTTGCTTCACAGGGTCTCTTCCTTTCTTTGATCATGGGAGGAATTTGAATCAGTTCCTATACTTCCCTGAGTAATGCAGAAGTGTTGCAAAAAAAAAATTATAAGTTTCTACAGCTATAAATGCAAATGAAAATAATTTTTACATTGGTGAAGTTAATTCATTGGGTGTGGCAAAATTGTTTGTGGATCCTGCTGGTCAATATAAATTATTTTTGCCTGAAAATATTTTTTTTTTACATTACCAGGAAGATTTGAATGAAAATAAGTTTTGGTACAATAAATATACTGTCATCGTATATTTTGCCTGTATCTCAATTTTTTTTTTTCGTTTTTGGATGCAATTTTTTTCCCGTTCAACTTTTAATTTCCTGTTCCTTGGTGTGTGTTCAAAATATTCCAGTGTTTTCTATTTTCTCCGGGCTTTCGAGAAACTGCGCAGAATGACGACAAGAAAAAGAAGAAGAAGACGAGTTCTACAAAAGGCTGAACCCAAGGGAAAAATGGCCAGCATGGTTTCTCATCACCGTGACACTTTCGAGAATCATGACAGTGTGTCTGAAAACTTTTCTTCCGGGTTTCGCAAGAAATGTGTCATCATGCGTGTGAGCAATGTCCGGTGAGTGGGATCATACTGCTGACACATGGTGATGCAGAATCATACAGCCTTGAGAATTTTGGATATAAAAGTAAAGTTTCCCGACGTTTGTTTTCAGGCTACTCCATCTGTTGAGCGCGTTGGAAATCATCATCATCATGAAGGGACTTATTGTGCTATTGCCGTTGTTGCTGGTTTGCTGTATTCCTGTTGCATTCGCAAGACGCAAAGAAGGTCATGGTGTGTCTGAATTTGTATTTCTTTTCGATATTTTTTTATTTAAAAATTTGATGCTCTTCATGAAAAAAAAAATATTCTTGGTAAATATTCTTACAATACGTTCTTCCTTCTTGATTATCAGATGTAATTTTGAAATGAATGGATACCGATGAAGCTCAGTAAAACATTTGAAACGAAAAATATAACTTTGGAACCAGCAGGAAAAAGCTGACGAAAAATAAAAATCCTTGCATGAAAGTCTTTTTTGATTTTCAAAATAATTGATTGGAAGATACATTTTCTAGTCTGCAAATATACTTGTACTGTATAGGGAGTATTTCATAGCACATGTTATTATTGTTTTGAGAAACCCAGCAATATTTTAAATCGATTGATGTCTTGAGTACTGTAAAATTCTTCCAAAAAAAGGGTCCACTGCTCATCTGTGAAGACGAGTTATGCTGAATAATTTGTTATCACATGATCCAAAAATTCCAGTCATATTAAATGCCCCAAGTGGGGAGCTATTTTTGCAGTGACCCCACAGTAGGGTCACAACTGGAGCATATGGGATATTCTGGGGGTACAATAAGTGTGCACTCCTGTAGAGGAAATTTTGCTACCATTCCAGGGTTACACTTGGTGCGCAAATGTGACATAACAGGAGCATCACACAAATGCACCAACCGTAACCTTGGTGTAACTCATCTGTTCACAAATGTGACCCTGAGTAATCCTGGTGTGAACACACAATTGGTGCACATTGGGGATATGCATGATGTGCAACAGAAGAACTTTGGTACACTTCAGGTGCACAGCAGGCGGGTCACTGTGTAGAATTACAAACAAATCCCCAGTGTGCACCAATTTCCCCACTTGCTGGGTACTGGTGCAGCTAGTACATACTTTTGTAGTAAAAAAGCCCGGAAATGTTTATCATGTTCCCTGCGAGGCTGGAACCGTCCACGTCGGTTGCCACGCGGATGAACCCAACACCATTCCCTGGAACCAATGCCTGGGCCTGTGGCAATTCCATCATGGCGAAACTGTTTCTGAGAAACGAGTTGACGTCCGACTGATTTCCTGCAACTGCTCCAGGGAAAGGAATCATGGCGCTGAGATTTGAAATGATGACTGGCGCATTTGATGGGAGAGGGGCTTGGATGCGGTATGCCTTGATGGCCACGTCGGGATTATCAGCCTGTACTATCCAATAGGCTTCCGTCAGCTCCTCGTAGAATGTCAGAACATGCCTGAAATATAGAGCAAACACGGCAATAGTATACACTGCAGAGAGTGGAAAGGATGGTGTTCATGCATATATGCGAATTGGGGGGTGTAGCGAAAGGCCCACCCCCCCACCTTGATGCAAAAATTGGGGATTATATACAGGTCTCCTTATTGTAACTCTTGATTGTAAGCTGCACCTTTCACCAGCAGGCCCAGCACAAGGCCAAGTGCCAATATGTGTGTAAGTTGAGTATATATAAAGGGATTCCTCACCTGCAGTAAGTGCTGGTCATCAGTGATTCTTTATTGAATGTCAAAGCATCATCACTGGCTGACTTCTGCAAAATCTACAGTTCACCCTGTTGATCCAATGGCTGGGTGCACTTCAGATCATCAAAAATCAGAAGGGTGGCAAAAAGGCGTACTACAATGGCTATTTATTCATGGTTAAGAACACAAATGCCAGTACTAGGTGCTGAAAATGTGCTAATATGAAGAAGGATGAGATAAGAGGACCACATTGAGAAGAAAATGACATTGAGAGCATCAGAAGTGACACTGAGAAAGAGACTGCAGAGGGCAATTTTGAAGATGATTACTCAACAGTCTTTTTGAGGACTATAATGAAGCCAAGCATAGCCCTTCTCAGGGCCACCAAACACTGTTATGAGACTTGCATCCACAAAAAAGTGGGGGGGGGGGGTTGACCTAGAGGGGCTTTCCAGGGGGGCTTTTGGCTGGATACCGAAATTGGGGTACCTGACTATATACAGTGAGACCCCCATACATTCCGACACCCCAACATGGGGATGTTTATTTTTCAATAAAAAAAACTTTAGAAAGGCCCAAAATATGGACACTGACTTGACATGAATACACTGCATGATGAAATTGCCAATAAATTTCACAAAAATTGACTTTTATTAGGCTTAAATGCTTGATTGCAAGGAACAGATATTTCCAACCATAAGATCCATGCAAGAAAAATTCTTTGGTGCTGTTCCCATCACTCTCCCATCCATTCAGCTAATTTAAAAAAGAATACCTATTGCACAGAGGGACTTCCTTCTCTCTTTGTGACTTGGATGATATTTTACATCCAATCTTGCAGACAAGTTCTCCAAATTTGTCCACAAGAACACAATTTTTTTGGACAAGTTCTCCAAAAAATCTCCAAAACTCATCAAAATGAGTTCCAAAAATGTCTGTGGAACTCATTTGGATGAGTTTCAGACATCTTTTGTAGAATTTTGTGCTCACTGGGCAGTGCATCAACCAAACCCCAGCTATAGCAGTCATTGCATGCCCAAGTGTATTTTGTCATTCTGATCCTAATAGCCACCACCATCTGGAGCAGATCTATAATTGACTGAGCTATACATTGTGATACCTATATACCTTGCTGCAAGAACTGAAAACAACTGAGTTGATCTCTGCTTAGTGATGTGTTCATTATTTACTTGTGTGCTCAAGGTTGACTGGGACCACCATATATTCAGCATAGAGTTATACAAGGGGGTGAACTTTTGGTATTTATCTTCCCTGTTAAGATGCTGCTCCCCAATGAAACACCATCCTCAGCAACCATCCACATCTTGAATGAAACAA